CATAGGGTAGCTCTATTTTTAATTTTTTGAGGAACCTCCACACTGTTTTCCAAAGTGGCTGTACCAACTTGCATTCCCACCAACAGTGTAAGAGGTTCCCCTTTCTCCACAACCTCTCCAACATTCGTTGTTTCCTGCCTTGTCAATTTAAATGATAAGTAGCATATATAGGCAGGTGAAGGGGAGTTAAGATTAATGTGAAGGAAAAATGTTTCCTAGGCTAAGGGAACAAATGTAATTTGAAAAACACTGCGGAAGAAAATGATACTTTTAGTTAAGGGAGAAACATTTCTGTTTCTATGCTTTGGAAGTATAGCACCTCTTGTTTTCTTGAACTTTGAACTGTATGCTAGAGTATCTTGTTTTATGGAATAGGCATCTCTTTGCTGAATAATTTATAGTTGTATAATTTTCTTATTTTGGAGATTAAAAACTTTTTTCAGTAATTGTTACCAGATAGAAAAGTAGAATTACAAGCTGATAAAAATGATTATTTGGACATTATTACATAGAGGTTAAGTGGGTAGTTCTGGGAATAGAGTTTATATTTTAGCTATCTTTTTCTTAGTTCTGTTATCTAATTGAGAATTTCTCACTCAGGTTTCAAAATAACTTTTTGGGTGGTTAGTCCCCCACTGTTGTCCATTTGAAACAAATTTGGTTAATTCATAAAATAACTACTGGGAAGTTGCTAGTTTATCAAGTAGGTACCTGAAAATGGGATAGATGACTTAAAGTAGATGAATTGTGTTTTGTTACATCTTAACTCTTAAGTGTAAAATCTTATTATCCTTAAAAAGTTTTAGTTGCTGCTGTTTTGTTCCAAATTTCCAATTTTGGAATGTTGCCTGTAGTGTGATATCAAGTACTAATAAGTATTATAATTTTATAATTCTCCTGACAATTAAGGGTATCTAGTGATTTCTTAAAAATACATGAGAAAGAAAATGGTTCATTAAACAAGGCTGACATTTTTCTGAACTATTTATAAAAGTAAAAGCCTTTCCTTTTTGGTTGCCAAGGTGCTCTGTTATTTGATTAGATGTGTTCTATTGAATAGAAATCCAAGTTTTGTTAAGGCTCAACTTTTAAAATTTTTCCTCGTTAAAAAAAAAAAACATGCTAAGTACTTCTTATTAGTGTTATTAATTTGAATAACATGAATGCTTTGAATCAGTCAGCCTAATGTGTTCTCTCATTACCTTAAATAATAATTGTATTATCTGTTACATTGCATGTTTATGAAGTACTTATACTTCATCCTGAGGTAATTATTACTTAATGTGAAGTGTAATTTTTAAGCATTCATATCTTTTTTCATTTAGAGTTATTTTCCAAGAGTAAAGTAACATTTAAACACATCTGATAACTTAGCGGGGGAGGGAGGAGGCCGGAGGGTGGATGTGGGGAGGGACTGGTGGCAGGTGGGGGGAACTTTAAAAAAAAATAATAAACACATGATAACTTATTTTATATATGATTTTTTTAGGGCTGCTTTGGAAGAAGTAGAAGGAGATGTGGCAGAATTGGAACTAAAACTCGATAAGGTGAATTTTACTTAAAAATTTTTTAAAACATTAATTCTTAATTTACATTAACAATGATTTGGGCCTTTAATACTAAGTGGTTCATGTTACTTTTTTTTATCTCTATGAGGATAAATGTTATTATCCCAATTTTACACGTGAGTAAATTGAGGCTACAGACATAAAATAGCTTGTTGAAAATCTAAGGGCCAGAGCAGGAATTTGAACAGCATCTGACTTCAAAGCTAACTAGATATCCTTTATATTGTTGGAATTTTGTTTTCTTCTTCTCCATCAAAAAGACTGCATGTATCTTTTTGATGCTTAGTGGTTTTCATACATAATCTGACCATTCTTGTTTATAAATGTGGGTGTGGACACATTAAATATAAATAAAATTTAAAATACTGATTCCATTTTTTAAAGCTAATGCCAGAAATGCTTAGTATATATTTAATAATTGATATTAAGTGGTCATATTCTATTTGAGGGTAAATGTTCATTGATTCCTATCTTCTGTATTAATTATTGATCATCTTTTTTTTTTCTCTACCCAAGAAATATTGCTATAAAGCAGGAAGAAATGTGAGAATGAGTAAGACATGGCTTCTGGTTTCAAGTAACCAGTAACTGTTTAGTGAAATACCTTTCTTAAAATTTATGGAGATAAATCAGATGCACATACCTGAAATACCTTTACTGAAAATAACTTCCTACTTGTTTAATTATTATTGTAAATGGTATTGCTATGTAAAGCAGTGCTTCTCAAACTGTACTGTGCATAGGAATCACCTGGGGATCTTGTAAAAATACAGATCCTGATTCAGTAAGTCTGGGGTACCTGAGATTCTGTGTTTCTAATCACCTCGATTCCAGGTGACACCAATGCTCTTGTTCCACGGACTGCACTTTGAATAGAAAGATATAAAATAATTAAGCTGAAGGTTTTCAAATGTTTTGAAATCATGAAATATATGTATGTATATAATGTAAATGGTATAGAGACTATATAAATTAGTAGTATTAATTATGAATGTAAAACCAAAATTTTAGAAAATAGTAATTAGTTATTTTTGTGTTGGACTCTATAGTTTTTTAAACACTTTGATATATAGTATGTTCTTTGATTTTTACAATAATTCTGTGAGGTAGATAAGACAAGTGCTATTATTCCCATTTTATAGATGAGGATACCAAAGCCCAGAAAGTGAAGGGGACTTGCTTCAAGTCAGAGGTAGAAGAGGCAGAACCAGGGTCAGGACTCACATTTTTATTCTTAGTTCAGTGCTCTTTTTGTGCACCACTGTACTTCTGGATCCATATTGGGGGGGTACTTTGCCACTTGGAAATTTTTTGAGGAACACTGAGAAGCTTCTTGGCAAGTGTTTTTTTAAAATTAGTGTTATAATTTTTGGTAAGGATATTTTCAAAAATATTTTCAAATATTTCTCTTTAAAATCACATATAGGATTATTATTGTTGTTATTATTATTTTACCCAGAGGTATTACATTTATTTTAAACACTCTGAAATAAAGTTTTTAACCATAAGGTAGGCAACAGAAATATAGTCTTGATTTTCTGGTAGATTTATGAGAGAGTGTGTAGAAGGACAAGGCTTTTTTTTTTTTTTTTTTTTTTAGATTTTATTTGAGAGAGCGAGACATAGAGCATGAGCAGGGGAGAGATGGAGAAGCAGGCTCGGCTCCCCGCTGAGTAAGGAGCTGACACAGGGCTTGATCCCAGGACCTTGGGATCATGACCTGAGCCGGAGGCAAATGCTTAACTGACTGAGCCACCTGAAAGACACCCCTGAAAGACAAGGCTTTTTAAAGAATCATAGAGTAGTCTAATCAGGATATCTATTCTTTTTGGGTAGAACTGCATGTAAATCATGTGAAACATTTTGTGTGTTCATTGGGGGGGTCCTCAAAATTTGAAGTATCTAAACCGATAGAATCCACTAACAGCATTTTTGTTACTGATTTTGCTTTTGTGAGCAGCTCCTCCCCCCACTCCCACCCCCCTTTGTGTCAAATTTGGTTGAAGTTGGGAGACTGGTAGAATCTTAAAACCAAGAGATTCAAGTTTAAAACAAATTATTAAAATATTGGCAATCAGTACTAAGATCTCTAAGCCCTTTCTAGAGTATTTATTACCCAAAGGCTAATAAGGGCATCATGGAAATTTTAGCATTTAAAAAAATATTATCTTCCACCCGAATAGAAGGTCTATAGTTATTTTTATATTTCTCTAGTTTAAGATCTTGATTTCTTATAAAATGTACCTCTCCCAAATTCTTAAGTTAGTATCTATCATTTCACTTTAGAATTTTGAGGAGTTAGCACAGAGAGGAGAACCAGAGAGGAGGAAGAAATGGTTGTTATTAAAGGTGGAGGCACTGAAGGACTAGTGGAGGGGAGGGGTTGCCCAAGATTAGTTTAGTGATTTCATAACTTTGTGCAAGGCAAATTCCAGCTGTAATATCATTGTAAAATCATGCCACCAACAGGTTAAACTAGCTTGATGACTTAGCTTTTATTTATTTTGCTTATAATATGTTACCAATAGTTACACTCATTGTGGAGAATAATGCTTTATGAGTGACATTGTTCTGCTGGGTTCAATGATTTGTCCGTTCTGCCAGGCATTCTGGCATTGACAGCACCGTAGAGCATCATGGTGGCCGTCTAGATGTAATTTCTGTATCTGGTGCGTCTTCTCACTGGAATGTTTGTTCCCTCTCTGGTGAGCAGATCCTCTTTAAATCACAGCTCAAGTACTACCAAACTTAGGTTCTTTTTCTTGTATTGCATTCTTTGTTGCACACACTTCCATTTAAATTATTATAATATTATTGTAGTCTTTGGGTTGTAGCATGGTCTAATAGTTAAGAACACAAAACCTGGAGTAAGGCCACCTGCATTTGAATCTGGCTCTACCACTTACTAAGCTATTTGGCATTGGGCAAGTTCCTCAACCTTCCTATGCCTCAGTTTCTTCATCTCCAAAAAGCAAAATTAGAGTTTCTATCTCGTAGGGTTATTATGAGAATAAGGTGTTTTAGTATATGTTCGTGCTTAGCATGGTTCTTAGCACATGTTGAGTTCTAAATCAATGGTAATGATGGTGTCTCTTCAGCAAATCATTAGCTCCTTGAAGATAGTCTTTGAAGAAAAAAGAAAACCCTCATTTGATGCACACCATGTATCAATTGCTAAGTTTTACTTATATTATCTCCAACTGTCACAACAATGTTGCAAAGTTGGTATTATACCCAATTTGCCCATGAGAAAAATGAGACTTAGAGAGGTTGTTATTTACTTAAGGACGGTCAGCGGATAAGTTGTTTATATCCTCATCACCTGGAAAAGCGCCTATGACATACGTATCACTTAGTACCAAAGAACTTTTGAATGATTTGGGGCTACTAGCTTGATAATTTTGACTTACTTGACATATACTCTTGGGTAAGAATCTTCCCTCTTTGTAGGCTTATATTATTTAGTTATACCTGTCATCAGTGTCAGCTACTAAGGATTTTGCTAGCTGGCATAGTTTCTATCACCAGGTCAGTCCTTCCTCCTGCATAGCTGCAGTATATGTGTGGCTCAGCTATATGACAGTTCCAATATCTCTCCAACTCCTGTGATAGTGACCTCTATTCTAATTCTGATACCTGTTTTCATGGTCATAGCTATGCCTTACCATTCAAAGTTCTCATCTCGGAAATCTGGAATGCTGATCTCTTACTTTCTTACCTGAGACTCTAGTCTTTCCAGTTCTCATTTCACTCCTACTTCTGTTCTTCAAGCTTAGCTAGCCCTCTAGTCTTTCAGTCTATAAACTTCTGATATTTTAGACACTTTAAACTCCCCTTTCAGTACATTTTTTGGGGGGGGGGGTAATTTTTGGAGATAAAATTCACCTGACATAAAATTCATCATTTTAAAATGTACAGTGCAGTGTTTCCAGTGTATTCACATTATTGTGCAACCCTCACCGCTATCTAATTCCAGTGCATTTCCATTACCTTAAAGAGAAATCCTGTACCTGTTGGCAGTCACTCCCAATTCTCCTCTCCCTACATCCTCTGGCAACCACTAATCTACTTTCTGTCTGTATGGATTTGCCTATTTTGAACATTTCATATAAATGGAATCATAATTTTTCCTTTTGTGACTAGCTTCTTTCACTTAGCATGATGTTTTTAAGTTCATCAGTACATGTTGTAACATGTTCCAGTATTTCCTTTTTATGGCTGAGTAATATGCCTTTGTATAGATATACCACATTTTATTTATCCCTTCATCACTTGATGGACATTTGCGTTATTTCCACTTTTTGGCTAGTATGAATGATACTGCTATGAACCCTTTTAGTCTACTCTTAATTTTATTCCATCATATTTTTCTTCTGGATGCCTTCATTTCCCTTTCATAACACCTACTCCATAGAATTCTCACTGTATTAGTCTAATCATCTGTATTCTCTGTGTCATATCTCGGCTGTAAAGCCCTGTAGGAGAAGTTAAACAATTGTTTGGTGAAATCAACTGGTGGAGTTACACATTCCTGGAATTCTTGATGTAAAACAAATTTTCCAAGACTTATTCAGGTTATCTTATTATCTTTAACAGCTGTTATACTTCTGTTTTCTCATGATTTATCATTTTGTTCTTCTTTCTTAATAGATGACTTTGACTCTATCTTCCTTTTGGTAGGAACACTTTTATTTCTTGCTCCTAATCTAGAAATTTAGAATATGTCCTTCTCTTTTTCCACTTTTCCTCCCATTTGAGTGATAAAAGTATCCCTTTTCCTATGTAATTCCAAACTCTTAACTTCTCAGGACTTTGCTTTAGCCATCTTTCTCCTTTTCTTTCTCTACCACCTCTTCATTTTAAGTAGAAAGTGTTCAAGTTTCCCTGGAACAAAAACAAAATAAGAAAACCAAAAGCAAACAAGAAACCTCTGACAAGGAAATATAAATCTTTAGTAATTACCATGTGCCAGTAATGGTTTGTGCTAAGATCTTTATGTGCATTATCTTAACTCTTTTATAGTAATCTTGTATGGTTTGGTACCATTGTGATCATTTCAGACAGAAGAAACTTAAGGTTACTGAGGTTAAGGTCACTCAGGATCATTTAGATGGTTAAGTAGAGCAGCAGGATTTGAACCTAAACTGACTGAGCCCACAACCCTATGTTTTTAACCATGATGATGTTATATTACCAACCTCTCTCCTTCAGTTATCATGGAACCTTTTAATTTAATTATTTTAAAATTATTTTATTTGTTGAATAATACCTCCTATGTGATACAGATTTCAAAGATACAAAAGTGTGTACCCAATGAAAAATTGGTCATCCTCTCATCTCTTTCCTAAAGGAGAACACTTGTGTCCTTCCAGAAATTTTCTAGGCATATAAAAGATTATAAATATTTGTCTTCTTCTCTCCCACTACAACAAAAATATTAACACTGTTCTACATTTTGCCTTTTGAAAAAATACATCTTGGATTTTGGTTTCTGTTATTAATCATTGAGCTGCCTCATTCTTTTTAATGGCTGAATTGTATTTCATTGTATGGATATATCATAATTTATCCAGTTGCCTACTGATGGACGCTTAGATTGCTACCTGTATTTTACTGTGGCTGCAGTGTATGACTTCACATGTGTGTCATGTGGTTTATGTGAAAATATAACTTTATAATACTTCTCTAAAAGTGGAATTGCTAGGGTAGAGGGTATGTGTTTAAAATTTTGATAGCTCTTGCTAAGTTGCCTTACATAGAAATTGTACCAGTTTACATCCCCCCTCCCATAAATGTATAAGAGTACCTGTTTCCCCATATCTACCCTCTCTAAAATAGCAAGTTAATAAACTTTATAATCTTTGCTATTATGTAAAAAAAACAAACAAACAGTAATTTACTCTTTGTAAAAGAGTAAAATACTCTTTTACTATGAGTGAGATTGAATTTTTTTTTCATGGGCATAGTATGTATTTGAATTTTCTTTATTGGGTATTATCTGTACATAATCTGTTGGCCGTTATTTTTCTAGTGGCTGGTTTGATTTTCAGAAATGATTTGTATCCTCTTCTTATAGCAGGGAAATTAGTCCCTTATGATTTGTTGCTAATATTGTTTTCCCATATTGTTGTCTTTTGACTAAGTTTATTGTTTTTTTTTCCTAATAAAAATGTTTTATTTATTTATTTTTAAATAGACTCCATGCCCAGGGTAAAGCCAAATGCGGGGCTTGAACTCCTGACCCTGAGATCAAGACCTGAGCTGATATCAAGAGTTGGACACCTAACCAACTGAGCCACCCACACGCCTTGAAATTTTTATTTTTTTTGTAGTTGAGTTGATTTGTTTCTTCTATGACTTTTGAGTTTTGCAACTTTCTCAAAAAGATTTTTCTTACTTTGAGATTATAAAAAATATTACCTCCTGTTTTAGTTTTCTGATTTAATATTTCATGTTTAAATCTTTATTCCATCTGAAATTAATTGGAGTGTTTGGAATTCAACTTAGTTTCTTTTTTTCTTTTTTTCCCATTAGATGCTAATGTCCCTATGTCATTTATTGGATCACTTTTCCCCGTACTGGCTGGAAGGTTACTTTAATCAAGTACTGCATATTTGTATTGCTTTCTTTTTTTTTAAATTTTTATTTTTTAAGGTTTTTATTTATTTGACAGAGAGATAGAGAGCACAAGTAGGCCAAGTGGCAGGCAGAGGGAGAAGGAGAAGCAGGCTCCCCGCTGAGCAGGGAACCCGACGTGGGGCTCGATCCCAGGACCCTGGGATCATGACCTGAGCCAAAGGCAGCCGCTTAACCAACTGAGCCACCCAGGCGCCCCTGTATCGGTTTCTTGACTCTGTATTCTGTTCCAGTGAAAACGTTTGTCTGTTCATGTCCATTACCAGAATTGTAATTACTATACTTGTATAATACATTTTAATAATATATAAGGCTAATGTTCCCATCACATTGCTCATTTTCAGTTATTTTCCCTCTTCTTGCGTGTTGGTTACTCCATATGAATTTTAGAATTAGTTTTTCTGGTTTTTAAGACATTATTTTTTGTAATTTTCTATTTATTTGTAATTTTCAAACTGTTTAAAAGACTGATCTCTGCCAGCATTTCTTGTAGTGAGTTTTTTGGAATGTTGTTTCTATGAGCATGCTTCCTCTGAAGAGAATTCCATGCTAAATATTTTTGAGAAATGCTGCATATTATACTCTTCTCGGATTCACAACGCCCATGAGTATATCAAAAACTCTTTAAAGTTCAGCAATAAAGAAATCCATTTATCTCTTTAAACCCAGAGTTGGCCAGATTTATTTTGTCACAGGATCCTTATTTTGGTATAGGATGTTCCTGTAGGATATTCTGTAGAATATATATTGGGAAATATTGATCTATCATCATGTCTTCCTTCATCTACAGTTCATAACTCACTGTAATCTGGCTAACAGCCCCCCAGTCAGTTTCTCTTACAATTATTCTTGCCAAGAATGCTGGTGACTTTGTCACCAAACTCAATAGACATTTTTAAAGTCTTTTTAAAATTTGACTTTATGGATTTTCAAGCTGTTCATCATCCATCTTTTGATACTTTGTTCTTTTTTTACTTTGGTGAAATTATTCTCTTGCTTTTCCTCCTACTTTTCCTCTTCCTCTTTCGTTTCCTCTGTGAGTTTTTCACTCTGCATGCTCTGTCCCTTGCTTTCTGTCTAGGTTGTAGCACTGCAGCACTGATAACTATATATATGCTGATGACTCCTCTCTCTGTATCTACAGCACAGGCCTCTTTTTTGAGTTTGAAACATCTGTTTTCACGTGTTTGATCAGCTTTCCACTTGGCTTATATCACAGGCCCATCTAGTTCAGGGCCACCTCACAGGCCTAACACAGTGAAAACAAGTCTTTTGCTGGCCAGTTTAATGTGTCTTTGTGTGAATTAGCAGATACAGTCCATGGCAAGCAGAGCTCAGGCTGGATTTCAGCTCCTATTTTTTTCCCTCGGTGGGACACAGTCTACATAACTGAACTACATAAGGGTACTCGACTGTAATTCTTGAATTTGTCTCTCCATTTCTCTCCCTGCTTACTGCCTTAATTCAGCCTGTCATGGTATTTGGTCTAATCCCCTTATCTTTATTCTTTCTATTTCCCTGTCTTTACTTTTGCTCCTTTTAGGTCATCATTCTAAGATGGAACTCTGGTGAACTCACCAATTAGTGTCTTCACTTGTTTCCTGTTTCCTTTCATTCAAAATGTGAACATCTTAGCATTGCACACAAAGGCTTGTCCTGATCTGGCCCTTGCATACATTTTCAACATCACACCTTTAATGCCCCACATTTTCAGACTGCACTAAGCTACTTAGTGCCTCTGGTTTGCCCTGCCCAGGTAGGTTCTGGGCCTTACTTAGTACATGCTCTTCCTAGAGTAGTATCTTCCCATTACTCTTGTTTGATTGGCTAATTTTTGTTGGTCTTCAGGGCTTTCCTTAAGTGTTCTTTACCAGGAATCCTTCCCTGAGGCCCATAGTCCTGGTTAGATGTTCTTCTTTTGTTTGATCATGTGTGGTTTTGTCATGCATAGCAGTTGTGTTTGTGCTGTACAGAATTTATCTGCTTGTCTACTGGTTAGAATTAGCTTCTGAGAGCTGACATTATGTTTTTCATTTCTGTTCTTCTAGGCCCTAGGGTAACAGTTTTAAATTATACTCCTGAGATCCTTTAGATGTTTTCTAAAGTTCTTTTTTTTTTTTTGCTCTTTACCCTCTTCTTGGTGCCCCCACCATTACCCTCTCAGCATCCTTCCTTTATCCACTTTTTTAAAATACCTGTATTCACCCAAGATTTAATTTTTTAAAGAAAATGTTCTGTGTTTGAATGAAAGGAGAAAAATAAGGAACAGAAAAAAGAAAGGGGGGAAGGAAAAGAATTATAGAGAAAGAAAGATGAAACAAAGTCTAGATTTTAAGACTAGCACAATGCCTAAAATCGTAGGCATTGGCGAAATATGGTTGATTAATCAATTCAGATGTTTGTGTTCATAGATTGACACTGAAATGCCTCGCATGACTAACCCAACATACCAGTTTACGCCTCTTTCCTCCAACATACCACAGGTTTTGGGTTTTTTTTTTTAGTATTTTTTTAGCATACTGGTTGTTCTACCTGAACTTCCTGTTCTTCCTTCTAAGAGGTGCTTAATAAATTTTTATGGAGTTATGGGATTGAATTTGACTTGATAAAATTATTTGTTGTTGTTACCATACAGCCTGTGGGTCCTAAAGGGTCAACTCTCCTATGAATTTACTTTGTAAGTCAGAGTTAAAAAGAATAATTTCAGTTAGTCCATTTTGGCTTTATTGATGACCCATAATTTATTTTAACTAGGCTAACTCATGTTAGCTATTGGTAAAATTATTTTCCACCTGATGTAATGTTTTTCTTTTTCAGCTTGTGAAACTTTGTATTGTGATGATTGATACCGGAAAGGCCTTTTGTGTTGCAAATAAACAGTTCATGAATGGAATTCGAGACCTGGCACAGTATTCTAGTAATGATGCTGTAGTTGAGGTTAGTATTATTAAAATTAGTTAATATGATAAATTCAACAAAATATTAAAGAACTATGCATCCATTTACCATATTAGTAGTTATAGTGGTCCTTAAAATTAGGAGTAGAAAAGCTATCACCTACTGGTGTTGTATAATCTTGTTTTCTTAGTTAGAAGTTGATGGTTGATTTGCATTGTGAATAGAAGTTTACTTCTGCTAGGTGAGCTGAATCATCTACACGAGGACCTGAGTAGGGAGAGGAGGACTATGCTTGCTAGTAGGAGCTTATAGGGCAAGCAGAGAGCATTTAAATCTTAAGAATAGTATCTAACTCTGTGTGTGGGGTTGCATAGGAAAATTCTTGTCAGCTAGCTGTGCTGGGTTAACTTAGACCCCTTGCTGTACTATGTGGTATTACGATATTTCTTCCATGAGGAATAATACCTGGTTAGGTAATGGGTGTGCTTTGATGATGATTTGGTTCATGGATGTCTAAATGGGCACAGTCTTGATACACTCTATTTTACCTTTAGGTTTATATGTGCCATTATTATTTGTTAGCCTACTCCTATTGATATGACAGTACTAATTCTTTGACTATCCTACCACGTGTACACTGGTCCTCTTTGCAGAGCATGCCCCTGACGCAATGCCATGAAATCATCCTTGGAAGTAAATGTTATTGTTTACAGTGTAACTAGATGTTTCTGTCAGAAATGCAGAAGTAACATTTTTGTGACCTATTTTCGTGGCTCTTAAATGACTTGGTTTTTCTTTCGGTTTCTTTCTCATAGACAAGTTTGACCAAGTTTTCTGACAGTCTTCAAGAAATGATAAATTTTCACACAGTAAGTGTCAGTAAGTAGGTATTAGTATGACCATGTAAATATTTAGTACTTTCCTTGAATGGTGGTATTTTATAAAATTACTTAAGTTGTAATTCAGTAACTTTGATTTGCCAACTTTTTAGTTGGTGGATCTAAAATGTGTGTATGTGAGTGTGTGTGTATGAGAGAGAGAGAGAGACATTTTATTTCTAATATAGTGAACTTAATATCAATGAAATATATACCCCTAAAAGTTAATTTTTTAAGTTGTGCCTTTGTGAGTTTTTAAGGAATTATTTTAAGAATGAAGAAGTAAAAGCCATTATTCTAAATTTAGTTACTTCTTTTAAGATACACAAATATATCCCCTTTGTCTAATCAGTTGCCAGGATTAAAGACTGCTGTATTCCTTGAGCTATTTATATGTGCATTTAAGATTTGAAGACTTTTATTCTAGTTATTCATGAGGGCAAAAGATGCTGTTTTTTTCTGTTTTCCTTTGCTAAGAACATTTATTTTTATGATTATAACCAATGCAATAAAACCTAAAATCAGAATAAGAAAAAACCAAAAGATTTAAGGGCTTTTATCCTTCAAGAATGAGGGATATATACTACTTTTAGAATGTCAGGAAATTCCTTTATAAATTCTGTAGAAGTTTACTGAAAATGTTGTAGCTTGTGGGGCGCCTGGGTGGCTCAGTCGTTAAGCGTCTGCCTTCAGCTCAGGTCATGATCCCAGGGTCCTGGGATCGGGTCCCGCATCGGGCTCCCTGCTTGGCGGGAAGCCTGCTTCTCCCTCTCCCACTCCCCCTGCTTGTGTTCCTGCTCTCGCTGTCTCTCTGTTAAATAAATAAATAAAATCTTAAAAAAAAAAAAAAAGAAAATGTTGTAGCTTGTAAGTTATATACTTCTTTTAAAAACAATTTTTATTGAGGTATAATTGACATATTAGTTTCATGTGTATAGTGATTCCATGTAACGATTCTATATTTGCCTATATTGCAAAATGATTACCACAGTAAATTTCACTTAACATGTATCACCACATATAGTTACAAATTTTTTTTCTTGTGATGAGAACTTTCAAGACCCACTCTCCTACCTACTTTCAAATATGCAGTACGGTATTATTATTATTTTTTAGAAGATTTTATTTATTTATTTATTTATTTGAGGGTGGGGGAGGAGCAGAAGGAGAGGCATAGGCAGACTCAGCACTGAGCTCAGAGCCAGACGTGAGATCATGACCTGAGCTGAAATCAAGAGTCGGCTGCTTAACTGACTAAGCCACCCAGGCACCCCTGCAGTACGGTATTATTAACTATAGTCATCATGCTATACGATATGTTCCCACAACATAGTCACTTTATAACTAGAAATTTACACCTTTTGACCCCCATCACCCCCACCCCTGCCTCAGGCAGCCACCAGACCCATCTGTTCTCCATATCCTTAAGCTTGTTTTTTTGTTGTTGTTGTTTTAAAAATTTTACGTCTGAGTGCAATCATACAGTATTTATCTTTATCTCTCTGGCTTATTTCACTTAGCATAATGCCTGTAAGGTCCATCCATTTTGTTGCAAATGGCAGGAGTTCATTAATTTTTATGGCCGAGTATTATTGCATTGTATGTGTATCTGTATATATATCTATATCTATATCTTCTTTATCCATTCATCCAATGATGGACATTTAGGTTGTTTCCATGTCTTGGCTATTGTAAATAATGCTGCTATGAACATGGGAGTGCAGATATCTTTTCAAGTTAGTGTTTTCACTTTCTTCCCATAATACCCAGAAGTGGAATTGCTGGATCATATGGTAGTTCTATTTCTTTATGGTAGTTTTATTTCTTTGAGAAACTTCCATACTGTTTTCATAGTGGCTGTACCAATTTGCATTGCCACCAATAGTGCACAAGGGTTCCCTTTTCTCGGTAATCTCATCAACGTTTGTTATTTCTTGTCTTTTTTTTGTTTTTTGTTTTTTTTTTAAAGACTGTATTTATTTATTTGATAGAGAGAGAGAGCACAAGCAGGGGGAGCAGCAGAGAGAGGGAGAAGCAGACTCCCCGCTGAGCAGGGAGCCCAATATGGGGCTCAATCCCAGGACCCTGGGATCACCACCTGAGCCGAAGGCAGACACTTAATGACTGAGCCACCCAGGCGCCCTGTTTTGTTTTGTTTTGTTTTTCCTTGTCCTTTTGATAATAGTCATTCTAACCGGGATGAGGTGGTGTCTCATTGCATTTTGATTTACATTTCCCTGATGATTAGTGATGTAGAACATCTTTTCGTGTATCAACCATCTGCATGTTTTCTTTGGAAACAATCTATTCAGACCCTCTGCTATTGAGTTGTATGAGGTTTTTTAAATTTTAATATTAACCCCTTATCAGATATATGATTTGCAAATATTTTCTGCCATCCGGTAAGTTGCTTTTTCACTTTGTTGTTGGTTTCCTTTGTAGTGCAGAAACTTTTTAGTTTGATGTAGTCCCACTTGTTTATTTTTGCTTTTGTTACCTTTGTTTTGGTGTCAAATCCAAAAAAATCATTGCCAAGACATGTCAAGGAGCTTACTGCCTGTGTTTTCTTCTAGGAGTTTTATGAGTTCTGGTCTTCCATTCAAGTCTTTAATCTATTTTGAGTTAATTTTTGTGTTATATGCTTTTAATATTTTTAAAAGCTTAAAATATATGACTGTCATATAATTATTTGGTGTTTCAAAATTTATTAGCAGCTGTTTATAACAAGAATATCAGCACTTATATTCTTTAAATTCTGCTAATTTTTGGTTCTTAGTATATTTGATTTTTTTTTGGTCAATAAATTAAGGATAAAGTTATCTGATAATATTTATTTTAATTGTACTTCAAATTTTATCTGTACAAAAATTAGCATGTACAAGTATCTGCTTCAGTTCCTGATTTCAGTTCTTTTGAGTGTATATCCAGGTGTGAAACCACTGGTTCATATGGTACTTCTATACTACTTCCTTCTTGAGGAACCACTAAACTGTTTTTCACAGAACCTGTACCATTTTACATTCCCACCAGCAACATATGAATGTTCCAGTTTTTCACATCCTTGTCAACATTTATTATTTTCCATTTTTTTATCATAGCTATCCTAGGAGGTGTGAAGTAGTGTCACTGTGGTTTGGATTTGCATTTCTCTAATGCTTAATGCAGTTGAGCATGTTTTCATGTGTTTATTGGCACATGATATTGTATATCTTCTGTCATCATTACCATTGTTGCCCATTCAACTCCTTTGACCATTTTTAAATTGGAATTTTAAAAATTGAATTCTTTGTATATTTTGGATATTAAACTCTTATCAGATAAGTGATATATAAATATTTTCTCCCATTCTGTAAGTTGTCTTTTCACTTTCTTGACAATGTTCTTTGATGCACAAAAGTTAATTTTGATGATATTCAATTTATTTTTTCTTCTGTTGCTTCTGCTTTTGGGGTCATATCCAAAAATCCGTCGCCAAATCCCAGATCATGAAGATTTATTCCTTCATTTTCTTCTAAGAGCTTTATGGTTTTAGCTCTGATATTTTGACCAATTTGTTTTTTTGATGACCTCTTATTCTCTTTTTGCCTTCTGGCGGATTTAGATGCCAGAATATAGTATGTTTGATTTCTTTTTAAATCAGGTGATTGCTTGTATTTAAACTTCTTAAAAAAATGTAATATAGTGAGAATTAATTTTGGGGGGATAAAAGCTATTGATTTGAAATTAACATAACAGGTTAAATGTTTTCTCCATGATATCTTTTGTAATAGTCTTGTTTCTGTTATTTTCTTTAAATCAGTGTAAGTCTTGGGGTGCCTGCATGGCTCAGTTGGTTAAGCGTCTGCCTTCAGCTCAGGTCATGATCTCAGCATCCTGGGATGCTCAGCCCCACGCTGAGTCTGCTTCTCCCTCTCCTTCTGCCCATCCCCCTGATCATGCTCTCTCTCTCTCAAATAAATAAATAAAATCTTTAAAAAAAAAAATCAGTGTAAATCTTATATTATTGCTTTACATAAGAATACTTTGCTCTTTGTTAAAGTTTTATATGTGAAAAGTTATGGTTAAGATAAACACTTGGTAAATAAATTGTTTAAATGTGTATTGGAAGCTTTCTTCTCAAGAAATCTTACTTCAAAGTATTTTAATAATCACTTTCATTTTTCAGTTTATTGTTTCATATAAAGGAATAATAGAATTTGCCATGCCTATATGTAAGGGTGTTATGAGGAACGCAGTATGTGAAAGTAGACTCTGGAGAGTGATATTCCTTTCTTCATATCAGTTTTATCAGTTGGCATACATTCAGGAAAACAAACCACTTAGGATATTTCTGATAGAAAGACTTTAATACAGTGAATTGGTTACAAAAATGTTAGAAGGTCTGGAGGAATAAAAAAAAGTTAAGGTGATGCCACCTAGAGATTAGTAAATGTGGGAAGTAGCTATTGCCCCTGGGGCTGGAGAAACAAAAGCGAAAGTGGTGTTTCCCAGAGCCCCTAAGTACTGCACTTTTGAGAATACGGCCATTGTTACCTGGCCGGGAAGCCAGGAGCTTGCCTTCTTGTGGCTGCCTTAAGAGTCAAGGAGCCTGTAGTCCCCTTGAAACTGCCCAGATTGGTCGCCGGTGCTGCTCAAAGTTGGTGTGGCTCACAGTTGCTTACTGATATCTGTGTCGGAACAGAAGCAGGAAAAAACAGTGGCTTCCTCTATGTCTTGCCTCTTAATCTAACATTGGCTTCCACTGGCAGAATCTAACCTCTTTGTATGCAAGGAGGCCTAGGAAATATGTTTTGCAGATTTCTAGTACCTGGCAATATAGAGGAGGAGCCCATGGAAGGGTGATGTAGTGGTGAAAACCAACAATTAACCAGCACAGCAACCATAAAGGCTATAATTTGAAAATATTTTTGGTGGGCATGAGCATTTCTGAGTCTTTTCCAGAGAAATCTAGTTTTCACCTTCACAGGATATAACAGGATGAATCTGGAGGT